TTTCTTCTCCACGGTTAGGATCAAGAAAGAACTGAACGAACTACGGCAGAGGTACAACCACATCGTAAAATATGCAGACGTGGGGTTTACAGACGCGCCCAAGATTGAACCCTCCCAGGGGAAGACCTACATAAGTAAGAAGAAGCACATGCTGCTAAACATATAATGCGGGAGGATAGCCGAATGGACCGAGCTGGGGGAATCCACACTGGCGAGTATGCACTGTGTAGGGGGTGGAACATACCATCGCCTGGTTCTTCACATCAGCAGGGTAAAAGGGGACCCTCCTGTGAAAAGAAACTCATTCGATTTTGCAAAACTGCACTTGTGTGTTACGTTGCGTTGTTTTGGTTTACTTTGCTTTAATTTTTTCTTTTCTTTCTTTTTTTTTTTTTGCTTCTGTTCGGCGTATGGCATATATGGTGACGGAACGCGGTCACCTATGCGGGGCGGACGGACTCGGAAAATCAAAATGTGGTTGTGCGGGGTCATCTTAGCTGAATTTCCCTATTGCAGCCCTCTTAGGCACTTTCGCGCTGATACAAGGTGGCTCTGCGTAACTTAGAAGGTCACTCGTTTGGGGGTTCCATACGGGGAAGAACGGAGAATGGAAAAAGGGACAACGTGGTGGGGAGAAAAGTAAAAGCGCGGAGGTCCAAAAGGAGAAAAAGAAAACGTGGAAGCGATGGTGAGAGAGAAAACCACACTTCCGTGAACAGTCCCAGCGTGTGACGGATGCGCTAACGGCCGGTGGGCCAAAGATACAACATTCTCCCCCCACAGGAATATTTGCCATTTTACGTATTCGCCATTTCACCCATTCGACTGACTCACCCCATTGGTTTTAATTCGTCTTAAGTTCCTTGTCAAGGGTCGCGGATGGCGCCTCGTTGGGTCACCATCATATATAAACTCCCCCGCCGAAGAGAAGGGGAAGAAAAAAGAAAATGGCATCATGATACCATAATACATGGTGTTGAAAGGAACGGAGAAGAGATACCGTAGAGTTTCCTTCGCGTGCAATTAGTACCTAAGCAGCACTCACGTTCACTCGTATGTTCCCCTCACGCATGTGCGCACGATGGTAGGCGCTTTTTTCCCGTTTTGTAACCACGACAGTCGGCAGGGGTGTTATTGTAAAATAAAAATTACACGCAGTTGGCCTATACCCCCGTGCGGAAAAAAAAAAAAATAAAAAAAACAAAAAATAATAATAATAAATATATAAAAGGAAGCGCAAAGGATAATACAAAAAAAAGAAGAAAAAATAAGGAAATAAAAAGAAACATCACGAAGAAAAAAAAACTACGATGATGAAGCGATTGGCACAGTAGCCCTCCAGAACGCATTTATTTTGGGCGAGCGAGTGTATTGTATACATAGGGTACTACATACGGCTGAAAAAGTCAGCGCGTTTAAGCGAAATTTACGTGACTAGTGCAGAGTTCTATATCCCCGCGCGATCTTTACATGGATTTCTTCACGGACTTCTGTAAATTAAATACGTGATGATTTCCTTGCCCCCTTGGAAGTTTCGCGTCCCGCCCGCCCGTTTCTCGCGCTTTTAATTCGAAGAAAAGTCAAGGCGCCATTCCGCAAGTCGCCCTTTAGTAGTGGCGCGACGAGAGGAGTGATTACAGGAACGATCAGAGGAGGTACATTAGCGACGCGCAACTGCGCAATGGCGTGATGCTTCAATGCGCGATGCATACCGACGTGCATACAGGCGTGATGAATACGTACATGTTACATGGCTACGTCGTTACATCGCTACATCGTTACATCGTTACATCGTTACATCGCTACATTGCTACATCGCTACATCGTTACATCTCTACATCGCTACATCGTCACATCGCTACATCGTCACATCGCTACATCGTCACATCGCTACGCCGTCACATCGATGCGTGCGTGCGTCACTCCCTGCCGCGCGGGGGAAGCGTCCCGTTTTGAGCGTTTCCCCGTTTGTAGCTCCTCCCATGGAGGGATGCCATGACCTAGCCGTTTCCGCGAGGAAATAAGACGTCAGGGCAGAAGGATCCAGCGGTGACCTGCCAAATGGGCCTGCCCTAAACTGCGCTTGCTGCTGGCCATTACCCGTCCACACTCTTTGTACGAACCGCTCGTGTATCTAAAAGTTGCATACTTTGTGTGTAGTCCTGTTGAGGAGTCCGTCTCCTTCTTCCCCTCCAAATACAAATTGTTATCCCTTTCTCGTATAATCAAATCTTGTCCGTTTCGAACCAACTGCGGGAGAAAAGTCGACTTCGTTTCTCCATCCAGAGGATGCTTCGGATGCCAACCTGCGTGGTGGCAAGTAAGGGAGCCTTGCAACCCGCGCGATCCTCTGGAGCGGTTCCGGAGAAGCGAGGAAAGGCACCCCCACGTGAGCATTCACGCGTATTTACATGTCATTACATATATAGCTTTTACCGACTGATCTTGTGCCCTTTTAAATGCACCCATAGAACGACACTTGTATGCTTCCAAGAGTACACCTCCCACACACACACATACCAATCCCTTATTCTTTTGCCTCGCTTGTATCGATGCATGTGCATATATAGGTCCCTACATGAAGGCAGTCAATTTCGCGCCCCGTGTGAAGCGTTTATTTTCTTCTAACTTTGTTGCTGCGAGTTAATGTGTTTGGCGTTTGATCCGAAGTGGAAAGTACACCAGAAAAGACATTTAACGTTTTTCTCAGAGAGGACAGCGTGTTGAGTGAAGAGGACACTCTCCCACTCCCTACTATCACCCTACCAACACCACACACACGCGGGGACCCTCCAAGAGAGGCATGCTAATCGCCCTACAGAATGAGTATAAAGAACAAAATTGACATGAGCCTTGATGAGCTCATAGAGAAGGAAAACATAAAAGTCAACCAGAAGGGGCCCAATGAAAAGAAGACAGTTAACAAATCAATTGAAAAAAACACAGGTAGGATAGAGAAAACGCGTGCACAAAGGGTACATATGTGCTTCTCTATTGGTGTGGGACGCGTGCTCGTATGGAGGTGTGAGAGAAGCAACCCGAACGCCCTTTCCAAAGATGTAACGTGTTGGAGAGAAAACAAAGCGATCTGCCTACTCATGTGAGGCACCCAAGTTAATTACCCCCCAGGGGTCAACAAAGAAGCGCTAACAAAGGAGCGTTAGCAAAGCACCGCTAACAAAGCACCGCCAACAAAGCACCGCCAACATAACCAATGTCCCCTTCCCCCACTCTCAGGGCAAAAATACCTGCACAGTATAATCATCTCAAATGTGAGCAGCAACAACTTGGAACTCTACAGAAAAGAATTCAGCAAGTTTGGGAAAATTTATAATCTTTATCATGACAATGAGAAGAGGGTCACGTAAGTTTGTGCACGAGATGGGACAAGGAGGGGAGGAGGTTCCCCCCGAGTGGTTGCGTCTTCTATGTAGAGGTGGCCCACTCGTTTGGCAAACCCCCTCGTTTGGCAAACCCCCTCGTTTGGCAGACCCCCTCGTTTGGCATACTCCCCCGTTTGGATGGCCTCTCCCCATCTGCTCCCCCTGCGTGTGTTCATTCTCCACATTGTCTCCCCCCCCACTCCGCAGATACGTAAAGTATGACAATAAAAACTCCTGCGACAATGCCATAAAGTCCCTGAACGGTACCCCCCTGGATGGGGAGACCTTAACGATAGTGATGGTACGGACGCGGCGGTTTGACTGATTAGATGATTAGATGATTAGCTGATTAGCGGTTTATCTGATTATCGGTGAAGCTGCTTAACAGTTTAACTTCTTATCGGTTTAACTGCTTATCGGTTTAACTGCTTATCGGTTTAACTGCTTATCGATTTAACTTCTTAGCGGCTAGGGCGAAGAGTACCCCGTGGGGCATATCGGCTAGCCGCCATCCCCCTATCGAAGCATTCCGTGTGTAACTTGCATATCCGTGCACATTTCCTTCATGCCAGATCACCACGTTCACATATACACGCACGTGCTCTCCTCCCCTGCAGGGAAAGAAAATGCCAGACAAGAAGAACAACAAGGGTACCAACCAAAACAACCTCGTTAACAATAACAATAATAGAAACAATAAAATAATCCCTCCTTTTAAAATGCCCATGTATAACCCCAACGGTCCATACCCCTACTATATGAATAATAATCACGGCAACCAGCACCCGCCCCCCTATGGACACGTGCCCTATCAGAGCCCCTACCAGGGTAACGTGTTTAACAAGGGCATGCCCCCCTTTAGCGGCGGGGGGAAACACGTTTACGGTAAGGGAGCGACGAAGCCACGAAGCGGTAGAGTGACCGATGTAGCCTTTTCCGTGCCCGTTCCCGTGGCCGTCCCCTCACCTGTTACCCCTGCGTTCTCACCTCATTCGTTAACTTTGTTTATTCCCCCTCTTTGCAGATAATCAAAAGAATAACACCATCATAGTCACCAACGTCCCCACGTACCTAAACGCGGAAGACATTTTTTCAGCCTTTCAAGAGACGGGCAAAATTGTCGACGTGCAGATCCTCATGAATGAGAAGGTGAGTCCTGCTGTTGGGTGTCTTCCCTGGGTCTGTCCTTTGTACTTGGTGGACGCCACACCTGGGGTTGCCCATTCTATGGGTTAGAACACACAAACACGGCTGCTACTGTCATGGTTGCCACTCCCCCCCCCGCCCCTCTCACTGTTGCCGTCACCCTCCCCTGTCACAGAGAAAACTAACCGGGATCGTTAGCATCGAGTACGAAAAAAACGAGTCTGCCTCGGACGCAGTGCGCATGTACGATGGTGGATTTCTGAACGACAACAGGATTAGGGTCTTCCTGGACTGCCGCTAATTGGGGTCCCCTGTTCTCCCATCCCCCCCCATCCGTTCTGCACAGAAAGGGGGGAAAATGAACACAAAAGGGAAGAAGCAAATCTGTGAGGATAACTCAGCTGAGAGCAAATAGAAGTGCTACTCAACCGTGCGCGTAAAACGGAAGAGGAGGTATAATAGAAGCGGTGTACCGTTATAGTCGCGGTGGAAAACGCCATCAAACCCCTTTGTGAAGGCAAAGTTGTAATTTTTTTTTTTTTTTTTTTCCTCCCTGATTACACTTCATCGCTCCTTCATGGAGAGAGAAAGAAGAAATATGTCCATTGTGTTAATCGTATCAAAGTGCCACCTTTTTTTTTCTTTTTTCCCTCTTTTTCGTTTTCGCCTTCTTTTAATTAACAACGTTATTGGTGTTGACTGTGCGAAAAACGTGTTGCTTTACGTTGCGCTCTGTCGCGTTATGTT